TAGAATAGAATAGAATAGAATAGAATAGAATAGAATAGAATAGAACACTTATATATATTGCTTCATAGTGCTTTCCAGCCATCTCTAAGCAGTTTACAGAGTCAGCCTATTACCCTCAACAATCTGGGTCCTCATTTTACCCACCTTGGAAGGATGGAAGGCTGAGTCAACCTTGAGCCAGTCAGGATCGAACTGCTGGCAGTGGGCAGTGAATCAGCCTGCAATACTGCATTCTAACCACTGGGAAAGAAAGGAAGGAAGGAAGGAAGGAAGGAAGGAAGGAAAATAGCAATAGCCCTTAGACTTATATACTGCTTTTCAGTGCTTTACAGCCCTCTCTAAGAGGTTTACAGAGTCAGCCTTTTGCCTCCCAACAATCTTGGTCCTCGTTTTACTGACCTCGGAAGGAGAGAAGGCTGAATCAACCTCAAGCCAGTGAGAATCAAACTGCCGAACTGCTGGCAGGTTTTAAGCCTAGATCACAGTGAGCAGCATTGGGGCAGGGGAGGAAGGGAGCCGGCGGTTCCTATGGATGCTATAAGCCTTCGTTGCCGTCCTTTCCCAGAGAAGAACCCTTCTCTATCAACCGTGCCTTGCCCTTGCTGCCCAGCTGTCAAAGAAGAAAAATGGCAAAACAGTATTTGAAAGGAATCCACTGGGGGTACCGGCAGTGTATTCTGCTTTTTAGCTCAGTGGCCTCTTTGCACAGATGTGCAAAATGCTTCTCCTTCCAAAGCCAGGCACTGTGTTCGCATTTGTCACCTGAAACAGGAGTTGGCCGCGTTCCTGGCTCTGACCTCCTTTGATTCTTAGCCTTTTTTTCTTCCTAAGGTCAATGCCAGTCATTATCCGACTGGGCCCAAAAGAACCCGGCATCTGATTATGGAGACTTTTCTTGTCTTCAGCCGGGAGTCGATCACCGGCTTTGGGGCTTCCCGGCGCTGACTTGCATTCACTTTGTTTAAAATGCAAAGCAGCACCTTCACGATTGGGCCTAACCGTTGGCTGTGTGGGGTCTGATGTGCAAAGAATGTTTATTTCAGATGCTCTGTTAGTGGAAATCACCTGAGCGTTTAAAGGTCTCCGTTCAGCTTTCTGACTTTCCTGGAAGACCACAGAAAGAACTGGAAGAAAACGGGGCTTTTAATTTTTGGTACATTTTTGGGTTAGTACCAATTCAGCCACTGTCTTTCTGCAGGGACAAAATTGAAGCAGATCTTCTAATTAGTTTAGTTTACTTTATTGTCATTGCACCTCATACAATGAAATCAAACACCATCTTCAGTGCACACCATGACCATGAAAATAAGCACAAACACACATCTTTCACCCTTCACACATTGAACCGGAAGCCCAACACCACAGCAACACTGCACTATACAGCAGAATTCAAAAGAGCTCCTGCCCTGGGATAGAAGCTGTTTTTCAGCCTATTTGTCCTTGTTTTTATTATTATTCTGTACTGTCCGCCAGATGGTAATAGTTCAAAAAAAGGGTGCCCAGGATGAGATGGATCTTTGAAGATGTTTCGAACTTTCTTAGGGCAGCGGGAGCCATAAAGCTCTTCCAAAGAGGGGAGAGAGCAACCCATGATCCCCTGGGCAATGACATTCACCCTCTGGAGTGACATCCTATCTGCCACTGTGCAATTGGCAAACCATACAGTTTTTCATTCCGTTGTTGTTTCCTGAGAAGCCTCAGGTAGTCTAATCTCTGCTGGGCCCTTTTGACCAGGGCTGCAATGTGAGCACCCCAGGTCAGGTCCTCTTTTAATCTAAGTAACGTTACGGTTATCAACAAACATGCCGTTTTGATGTCTTCCTTTAAAAAAAAGAAAAATCATTGGTTAACAGAACACAGTCTATTCCAGGGGTCCCCAAACTTGGCAACTTTAAGACTTGTGGACTTCAACTCCCAGAATTCCTCAGCAAAATTCTGAAAGTTGAAGTCCACAAGTCTTAAAGTTGCCAAGTTTGGAGACCTCTGGTCTCCATTGATAATTCAAGGCTGACCCCCCTGGAATTAAGACAGAATTCACATCTTAAACCTTCCTTACAGGTAATCCTCATAAGACCACAACTGAACCCAACATTCCTGTTGCTAAGTGAGACCGTGGTGCTTTGCCCCATTTTCTGACCTCTCTTGCCACAGTGGTTAAGTGGATTGCTGCCGTTCTTAAGTTGGCAACACAGCTGTAAAGTAAATCTGACTTCTGCTTGTCAGAAGACAACAAGATTGCAGGAACCATCAGAAATACAATGCCAGTTGCCAAGCGTCAGAAATTGGATCGTGTGACCATGGGGATGGTGCAATGATCATGTGAAAAACAGCCAACTTTTTTTCAGTGTCATTGTGTCAAACAGTCCCCAGATGAGAGGGAAAAAATCACAATAGCCACCATGCACTGGAGCAGTGGTCACCAACCAGTGGGCCGGGGACCACTGGTGGTCTGCGAGAAAATGTTGGTGGTCTGCAGAGAAATGTCACCCCCAAAGCAATTAATCCAGGCTGCGCAGGAACACAAGGCTGCACTGCCCACATAGCCCGCGGGAACACAAGGCTTGAGTCACTTGCATTGCAAACAACACGAGGTAGTGAGAGGAGGGGGGAAAGGGCAAAGGGGGGGAACTTGCCCCACTCGCCCCACGCACGTGGCCTGGCCACCGAGCTGCTTCTTCCTGCTTCTTCCTGCTTCTGCTTTTAGCTGCATGCAAGGAAAGCAGCAAAAGTCTTTCTTTCTCTCCCCCAAACTCCGCCAGAAATGAGTCTTTGGGCCCCTGCAAGGCCTCCTGATCCAAGAGGCTGCACCGGCAAAGGCTCATTTCTGGCAGAGTTTGGGGGAGAGAAAGAAAGACTTCTGCGGCTTCTGCTGCTTTCCTTGCATGGAGCCAAAAGTCTCTCCCTCTCTCTCTCCCCCTGAGAACGGAGCTGGAGACGGTATCCTGTGATCCCAAATAAAGAATGATTGATTGGTAGGAAAATGGGGTGGGGAATTTTCCTGCAGACTTTTTTGGGGGGATATTTCCAGGGTCTCTGGTCCACGGGATTTTAAATGATGAGTTTGGTGGTCCCTGAGGTCCAAAAGGTTGGCAACCCCTGCACTGGAGTAGGGAGGCAGGATGTATAGATCCACAGCAAGTCATGTGGGCTGAATTTTTGTTTTTTTGAAGGCTTCGCAGAATCACATTTTTTTTTTTTTTAAACAGACGGGATTTTCAGACACGTGCGCTGAATTTTTGTTTTTTAAAGGCTCTGGCATTAGCCGAATCACATCACCCTTTTTTTTTTTTAAGTGGGATTTTCAGGCTGTGGCAAATACATAAACACCAGTCGTAAAAGTCTTTGGCAAAATGGTTCCCTCTTGAGCTTTGCTTGACTAATGTCCTTCGCATGGAAATGATTTTTAGACGGGAAAACAAGGCCGCTTCCTGTTTCACAGGCGCTGTAAACACCGCTCGTCTTGAGGCAACGCTTTTCCCAAGATGATATGGTTGGGAACTCTGGGGTTGGGGGTTGGGGGGGGTGGAATTCAGCAGAATGGCTTTCCAGGCTTCGACCTCCAGGGATTCAGAGCATGGATGCACAACATTCCTCTTAATTAGTTTTCTGCCAAGACAGATGCGATCCCAAATCTGGTTCAGCACTCCGAAGGCTACAGAACATTTTTGCAGGAAACCGCCAGCAATTCTGACCCTGCCTCTCATCCTGCTCCTCTCCGTGGCACCTCTTTCACATGGTGATTTTTTTTTGTGGGGTGGGGGGCACGTCAGCAGACGATCTGCACCCCTTTTTGCTTTGACTTCAGGTGGTGCTGGAACTCAGCATTGTTGGAAAGCTGAAGGAAAGATGGAGAACAAGAAGAAGGAAGTGGGCAAAAGGCATAGGACATAGATTAGCTAAGGCAAGTGTTTCCTGACTGTGGGGTCCTTGATGCTGTCTGAGCTTGGTGGTTTTTCTTGCAGATGTTTCATTAGCCAACTAGGTAATATC